AAGATCACATCACCTTAGGACACTCCTTGTGTACACCGTGGTGCCTAAGAATAACAATCTCCTTCCTCTGCCTTTCATAACTCTTCTGATTAAGGGGACAGGAGAAAAAAACCATCCCAACATGGCAGGAAGGCCTTTACTAAAAGGTGCATTAATTGGGGAAGGCAAGCCAACGAAATGATTAATTTGCTGTTCTCCTTCAATATTATGTTTACACAAGTTGATTACAGCACTTAATTACTAATTCACCCTGTTCAAAAAGAGGAGTGCTTTAAATTTTTAATGAGATGAGGGAAGGCAACATTCCCTAACTCAACAGGGAGAAGTCATTTTACTTCCTCTTTTGATTTCCCATGTTATTACCATTTCTAAGGAAAAAACTATCCCCTCCCTGATCTCTTACTCGGTTCTTCCTTTTGAAAATATGGAAATCAACAAGAGGTTTGTATTAATTTCAAGCCATGACCTGACAGGTAATGCTTTGGAAGAGGAATAGAGGATCAGATCATCAACTGAAGTACGTCCATTGAAATAAATGGAACAAAATTACGCCAGAAACTGCCTGATTCAGAAATGGAAATGGCCTAATCCCCTCCAGTTCTGTCAGCAGAAGTGTTCAATATGTCCCAGTACTATTTATGGGTGTTCTTATGAAATGCTGTTTATTCCCCATTGCCAGTTGGTCCATTACCAAGGTTGTAGAGTAACTGTAGTACTGAGGAACTTCTTTACATTCATAACAGTCTGTAACATTTTAATTGTTAAAAGGCGAATAAGTTGTGTATCAGATGTTCTTCCTGGCTGATCTTTATAAAACCTGTGTTATCTGTGGGGTTGGTTATTTGATTTTATGCTTTACCACCCAACAACATCCCAAGACAACTGAGAGGAGATGTCCATTAAATTAAGCAAAACCCTGCAGTGCACAAACAAAACTCTTCTGAGCTCCTTTAGTGGAGCTGTAAGTGAATCATGTCCCCTGCACCACCATAACTTCAACCCCCACCTGCAATATAGTCCAGAGTTATGGACACAGGAGCCAGGTGGTCCCGATCCACACAGCTCCTAGGGCTGCTTCCAGGGATGCAGATTGTGCCCAGGGGGTACTTCACCTGCTCAACTGCTACTGCTGCTAAATAATTCAGCTAATCCACATTAGATAATTACCTAACACTTCTTTCTATAGAATCCAGATCATTTTTAGATACCTCCAATCTGCTTGATAAAAATAATTAAAATGCATTTTCCTATCCTTTTGCAGAGTATACCAGCAACTTGCACAACAACTAAAACTAACAAAGAAAAGACTAAACCTCTCTTAAAAGTCAATTTGTACCTGAAAAGTCTTGTAATCATGAGGACTCTCAATTCTAGCTCAATGTTTGACACGAAAAATGATTACAGAAAGCTGATTACAGGGAGATACCGACAATATGCATTACAGAAAATCAGAGTTTCTTCTCTCCCATACTGGCCAGTAACAATGTCCCACATGAATGCAGAATACCCAAAATAAATCTGGTAATCTGGTTTCATACAGGTAATTTTATTAATTGCTTTAATATGCAATTAAGGAATAGTCAGTGGGCTGCAGGGTTTTATAAGGCAATAATCCTGTTCCCTGGTGTACAGCTTTGTCCCAAAGAGTGGGCTATTCAAAAAAAAAAAAGAGCTGGATAACTGCCAAGTCAAACAGCACCTTCTTCCCATTTTCAATTATGAACGAGTGAGGCAGAGTAACGAGGATATACTGGAAACTTTGACATTTATTTATTGAACATTTTCTCTGAGAAGGAATTGCTGGCTTGCTAAACCGGAAACTATATTTTTACTATAGAAACAATCCCATAGAAAACCAGGATCCTGCTGCTCAGCATGAAAGGAATGGCCAGAACCAATAAACTGACCTATCTAAGCAGCAATGTGAGGGTTAGTTCATTCAATGCAGCATATTTCAAAAATCCAAATCCCCAAAATAGAGTCTGTATTTCAAAAATCTTTCTGTCACAGGATTTTACACAGCACTGTCTGCTGGGACACAACCAGGCTGAGTTAGAGCTCAGGGGCACCACAAAACCACTCACAGAAAAAGGGTGTAGCATTTGGACAAATTAAAAGATGAACCAAGAAGAAATTCAGTTTATTTTCTCCTCTTTCCAGAGTTTCTAGAAACTAAATAACGGAGAGATGAAATGGGGAAGAACTCACCACACTGCATGTTCTTTTTTCTTTTTGGATAGACCAATTGTTTTACCACAGAGGAGAAAAATGCAGGGAGAGTAAATGAAGAGGAAAATAGGGAAGTCAACATTCTTTGAAGCAACAACATATGGTGACCAGGCCTGAGAGATGGAGGTTATAAATCTTCCCTTGATAGAATTACCTAAAGATGAAATTGCAGCTTCAAGGGGCTTGAACTTTTAAATCCACACTAGGAGCTTGCAAATTAACTTGTATGGTTACAAATTTTACAATGACCTTCATTTCCAATGCTTCTTTGTAAAGGCTCAGCACACTGCGAATTTTGATGGTAATACAGATGTGGTCAGCAGAAAGCATGAAAACCTTTACCCAAATCATTCAAAATATGAAGAAAAATATATGAAAATTAAGAATTAGAATAAAATGCTGCATCCTGAGAACAGTTGCTGTTGTGGTATGGAAAGGGAAAAGAGATGGGAGGTACATCAGTGCTTGTGTCTTTGTGAGAATAAACTTATTTAGGGATATCAAAGGAAGAGCTCTTTAGTGTTCCAGTCAATATGAGCAGGTCAGCTCATGGTGCACATTTCATCCCCAGAGCATCAGGTTCAGCATCACTAGTGGGACTCACTGTTTGTTCAACAGCCAGTCCTTCAGTCAGCAGAGCATGGTAGAGCTGGACTAAGATTATCAGAAGTGATTTTGAGGGATCCTGGCTTTGGGTGCTACTTCCAAGCTGTCCTAAAAAGGCTTGAGTTTTAGAAAATGGAGAACAGCCAACCCATAAAAACCAAAGAGCTTTTAGCATTTTGATCTTGACATTGAGTGGAAATGTCCAAAAATCATTCTGAGAAATGTGACCAGTGACTGGGAAAGCTACAGTAAAAAATCCCCTTCAAAAAACCATAGACATAAGGAGAGAGGTTACCGAAAAAACCCACAGTTTTCTCCTTTACTATTAGACTGAGCAAACAAAGAGCTTTGAAAAGGACAGTAATTAAGCACAAACCATCTATTAGAGGAGAGGTAATAAACTCTATTATTTGCAAAGTCTACAACGATGCTGAATGTTTGCAGCAGCACCTCTAAGAAAGGGTTGTTTTGGAACATGTGTTACAAAGATAAATGTAAGAGATGTTATTGAACTGTGATGCTAGATATGCATTTACACTTCCCTGTCCCTAAAAGAAATTCATTCAGTTTCTCATTTCTTTATCCCATGTAGCTAAATTCTTTTAAAAATGTTTTTACATACTCTAACATATTGCAATTTAAAAGTCTGCGACATGGTTGGTTCAAAGGATTCAGTTTCTCTGAAAAAGACATCTGAAGGGGTGTGTGATGAACACTGACATATACTAATGTATGTATAAAATATATGTATCTGTTCTGACATTATTGGATATGCTTCTGAAATATTTTTGTATATAAGAGCAAGGTAAAAACTAAAAGTAAGCGAATACACCAAAAATATATACGAACACATCACAGAAAACTTCACAGCATTAGGTTTTTCTAATGTTGATTAAAACAGACTTGATAAAATCAGTTTTGAGATGTCCAGTTATTGCATTGTAATGAAAAACATGGCAGACTTGGAATGAAATATGTATTTGAAGGCAAAAGATTAACAGAAGAGTAAGAAATAAATATAAAGACCTGTCACCAAAAGTTGCTACTGAAATTACATCTATCAAAACAAGTTCTTCTTACAAGCATTAGAACTATTATATACAGATATTATATACATATATATTGCACTCTATATTTGTTGCAATGGCATTCATTTTAATGGAAAAATTCTTATGAAAGGAAACTGCTCTTCCTGCTAACCTACATAGCACTGCAGAATATTCCCATTTGGAGAAATGCCAAGCACAGCCCAGCTCGTCAGCTTATGTTGAGCTGTTTATTGATTCCAGTGGAACTGCATCAATTTAACAGGTCAAGAAGCTGAACTCCCTATTCAGAAAATATATCCAGATAAGTTTTTGTGCAAAATTTCATCTACAAGTATCTGTGCCTGATGCTATAAAGAAAAACGTATTAAATGTACAAGGGACCATCCCAATAAATAAGTTTTTCCAACTGAATGCAGTGTGTTGTTTAATGTCCTCGTGTAGCATGAAGAGAGAAGATGTCTCATACTAGTGGGATTGCCAGGTGGGAAAACAGGCATGATCTGGGGAATTCAGACCCTTCCTCAGGTTTCTGTAAACCACTGTTGTTTATACAAATGCAGCTAAGTCATGCTTTGCCTGATCCACTGAAAATAAAAGCCTTACTGCTACTTTTGCAACTGCTAATGGATTGAAATAACATGAATAAACATGAAGTTCAATCCTCATTATTAACTCTGCATTCACTGTGGGCAAGACAAGAACTATAGGTGTGTTATTTTTTACTGCATTAATAGTGCTATGTTGCTTCTTATGTTTAACATTCCTCAATATGAAGGAAGGAAAGTCAGACAAATATAACTGAGATGAAAGCATGACCTTCCTGCAGGATCAGAGCCTTGCTAAATTCCCTGTTTTGTCTGTAAAATTACATGGCTCAACTTCATAGACAGCAGCTTCCATGCACATCTCTACAGTGAAAAGACAAATGAATACTCAATACACCTAAATGTGGAGTTAAACAGGGGGTGGAGAGAAGGTGATACTGGCTCTTGTCCAGCCACGTAGAAGGTACAAACTTTTCCACTTGGGTTGAAGTCTGTGTGTGGTGCCAAAAGTCAAGGTGTAAAACACATTAAAACTGAAAAAAAAAAATAAGTATAATCAGGTATTTCATACCTGTATAGATGCAAAATCCCCAGAAGCACAAGCTCCAAGAATAGCAGCACCCACCAAAACAGACTCCACCTCTCTGGACAGGACAACAGGCTTCCCTGCACAGGAAAGAGTCAGGTCTGTTAGGGAGAACACAGCGGGACTGCACCAGCAGCACCATACATAATTAAAGCAAAAAAAGAAATCAAAAAGGGCTTGAAAACCATTATTCATTACTCCATTCAGAGCTACACCTTCTGCTGTAGGTTAATGTAAATCACTCTGCCCTGTGGTTCCAGGCTCCAGGAAAAATGCAGGATTTAAATACAACAATTTCAGCAAATATTAATGCAGAACATAAAGGGCACAAAAACCACCCCCCTACCCCCCCAGATTTTTGACACTGGCTATTTATCTCAGAGGGCTTGGTATAAACCTGTTACCCACACCCTCCAAACCCACGTGCCCATTAAAAGTTAACCTGGAGGGGAAAACAGGGCGGTGTCTTTTTTGTTTCTTTTGCAACAAACAAACAAAAGACTGTTTGTGTTTGGTTTTAAATATATAGCCAACAAAGCCAGTCTGGTTTTGCTGGAAGACATGAAAATATGAGTAGCAAACTTTCTCAAGCTATGTATGAAATAATAAGGGAAATCTTGCCTTCCAAATTGTGCAAGATACTCAAAAACAAAATTAAAACACTGGAAAAACAAACAAATAATATATATTATGAAGCAGAATTAAAAAATATTGTTTCATCACCCAGGGGTACTATCGTGAACATACTTTCCCTTTGGTTCACACAAAGTGTCTGAGACATGTTTCACCAATGTAAAAACAGGAAAAAAAATACTAATAAATAAAAACCAGCCTGCTTTATTAATTCTCCTAAAAAATCTAAACCAAGAGCATAAGTTTAAATACTTTTCTAGTTGTACTTCTGATGCTTATCCTCACTAAGTCGAAAAATTTAATATTCCTACAGTATTTGGCATGTGGCTAAATTTCCATTACTGAGATAATGTCATTGAGTGAATGACGATGCAAACACAGGGGTGGAAGGAGGGACTCCTTCTGAGAATAGTCCCCATGATATTACGCCCCAAAAAATGCTGCTCCTGAGAGCCAGCTGGAAGATTAGAAGGAGCTGGAATTTGGAGGAAGACCTAAAGTTAGCCATGAACAACTGCTAGAGAGGAAAAGGCAAATACATGTTCCGCAAAATGAGGAATAAAATTATTAATATAAGCAGCAATTACTGACACAAAGTAAATTCTCCTTGCAACAGGCATCCAGTTACATTTCCAGTTACTTTTCCCTGTCACCTGAGCATTCCTCCAGTTCAGCTGCATCACAGCTCAGGACTCGGGTCAACCTGGAACAGCAAATCTAAAGCTCAAGCTCAAAGCTCCAGGGCTGTTTGTCAGGCGTCAGTGAGCAATTTTCAGCGTGCTCGAAAATTTACTGCCCATTTCCCGCATCATCAGAATGAATAGGAATTCTTACCAGGCAAACAAAAAGATCAAGATACTTTTTAAGTGGCCTGTGGAATTATCTATTGGATGTCTGCATGGCTGAGTCATGGGCATTTGCAGCTAACAATAATATATTCAGATTTTTTTCTTTTCGGGAAAGAATGGGGGATTGATCCTGGAATGTTAGTTATTTTATCTGATAGGCTCTAATGAGTTCAACATAACCAAGAGCATTTCAGTGAGATGAACTCTGACATCCCTTGTCAGTCACTGATTTTACAAATGGGGGAGAACTCCAGACTGCAAAAAGGCCTTTTTGTACTGAATTGTACTTGGCCATTAGTTACAGTCAAAGAACTTGTGATTACATTTTAATCAGAATACCTTTTCACAGATCTTTTCTTTTACACATCACAGACCAGCAGCACAACTCCACACGTAGCTGAAATTCACCTAAAACATCTGAGTTCTATAAGGCACAGACTTGACAATATCATTTTTTCACTTTGACTACAATATAATTAGTGAATTTTCAGGTCAATAGGCATCATGCTTTTTGCTTCTCCTTTTCTGTTTTCCTCTCAGGTAAAGCACGTTTTCATCTTCCTTCCTGCATCAAGGTTATGAAGTGTAATTTGATGTCAGGGCAAGACAGATCTCCAAACAAAATGCCCCAAAATTGAGCCTTAAAATTTGTTCATGACAGCTCAACTGGTCTTAATTTGAAATATACCCAAAACACACATCATTCAATGTTTCTCTGAAGTCCTTTACACTAAATTTTGTTATTTTTTCCACATTTTTTGAAGTATATTCAACTGACTCGCAGGTGTGCTAAGATGTCCAACACACACAGGCTGAAGGGGGACGAAAAATACCATGTAGGCCTGAGATTGCAGTAAAACACAGATCCAGGAGCTTCCTTCTACCCATCAGGAATTCTACAAAACCAAAGACAACACTGTGCAGGAGCAAGAGTCCAGACATTGTCCCCTAAACCATATGAGAGATACAGACACGGAAGCAATAATGGATACAATGCCCAGCAAGAGCAGGAAGTGTCACAAGTCAAATAGGATGAAGTTCATAAAGTAATATTTCATGACACACTTTTTGGCCAAGCAGCGAAATACAGTTCTGTATAAAGAAAGTCTTTATTTTTCCAAAGACAAGGTACTTAGACACCTAAAATAAAAGTAGTTTACACTCCTTTCCCTGTACTTCCCCTAACTTACCAGTAATGTCAGCATGCATCTGCACAAAGAGAGGGTTCTTGCTCAGCCCACCACACAGAAACAGCGTGTTGATATCATGTCCTGCAGCCTGCATCGTTTCCAAAATATGTCTTGTTCCTAACTTCAAAAAGGGAGAGAAAAACAAGCCAGATGAGCACAGGAGAGCAGCCACAGGAACAGGACTATACTTATGTGCAAAGACATCCCCACCGAAACTTTCTATTTACTTTGTGTAACAGCATCTGAAAATCCCTTTCAGTGAAGAGGTTTCAATTCTGAAGCCAAACAGCAAAACAGAACAAAAAAAGAACAGCAAATTAAAAAAACCTATGTTTTCTGTCATTTCAGCAAAAAAGAAAACCTGAAGAATTCTGTATTGGCTTAACTATTTCTCTTGGCCTTTGCCCTACACAAAATAAAATGTTCCGTTTCATGCCTGAATTAATTGAAACATCTCAAATGCAGGCATATTTTAAACTTTTCATTTACAGTCTCAATTCTGAGAAACTCAAATTAGAACAACCAAAGTGAATGCTTTGCCTTTTTTCTTTTTGTTTGCTTTGCTTGCCTCCAACTCCTCACTGAAGACAACCTTCTCTCTATTTCCCTTTTTCAGGAGTATTTCACATTTCTTTGACAAACTATGTGACCGAAAATAACTCCCAGCTCTTTATAATACCTTGGAAGTTAAGTTTGAAGCTCAGACTTGTCAAATTCAAGGCAAAATGCTGCTCAGGCTGACTCTTTGTAGGTAGATTCCTCACAAAACACAATCTGGTCAGAGTTTTCATAAACTAATGTTTAAGTTTTCTTTATGTCATGCTGCAAGTTCATTAAGATGTCTGCAGCTGCAATAAACTCATCTTCAAATAAAAGCCAATGAAAATGGAACAAGCAGAGTTCCATCAGATGGAGACGTCCACGATGAATGACCAGCACTATTCTGGACAGGCCTTCAAATATATTTTGATTTTTAGGGAAGCAGTTAAGAGGAACATGAGCAGCCACAACCCCAGCTGACTAAATCCATCGCTTCCCTATTGACACAGAGGGCTAATTTCCAAATCCACAATTTTAATTATGGAAAAATAAACTGCTTTAAAAGGAGTCTGTCTGCTCAGAACAGGCCACAATTACATCCCTGATCATGTTCTCAGCCATCCAACTGTTGCATTGCATCTTGCAGTGAATGGTTAAAAGGAGGTTCTCTTTCACTACTTCTGAAATTCAAATTTATTAACAACTTCTCTCACAACATACACACGCAAAGACCCTGAGAAAGAACACGCTGTGAAAATTATTTTGTGTTTACCTGCCTGGAAAATTGTATTCACACAGCAATTTAAATTAAAGCCAGACTTATTTCACCGTGGGTGGGGGGGAACTAATTTAATCCTGGATTGGAGAAAATGCAAATTGAGGGGCTTCAAATGCAAATTTTATATAAAAAGAAAAAAGCCTCTCCTGCTGAAAAGAAAACTAGAGATTAACATTCTGTGGGCAGGCCTACACTTTGTACAAGATTTTTACTTGGGTTGAAAGTTTATCTTGCACCCATTGAAGGCAGCTAATGGTGCAGGATTACTACAACTGTTTCCTTCAATAAAAGTGAAGCTAAAATTGGGAGTGAAGGAGCATGGGAGGAAAATCAAATTTCCTAGGTGTCACATTGGCAATTAGTAAATATATCAAGTCAAAACCAACGTTCTCTGTCTACTTTTTAGTTACTGTTTCAACAACGCTTCAGGAAAAATGAATTTCCTTGAACTTACAGTGAAAAGAAAACTACGGGACGGCCTTTTTACATTAAATCAGCCCAATCAGGTATCAAAAAGATATGCAGCTGCTGAATTTCGTGTTCAACACAGTATTTGTGTTTTACAATAAAATCTGAGCTGTATCATACAATGAGATAATAGGTGACTTTCCCAGGATTTCCAGCAGAGAAGGTTTCCACTTCGTTAGCAGCATATAATCAGGGAGCACCTGTTCCAGACTGGGAAGTTCCTTTCAGGGGCAGTATCAGTCCCTGGCATTGTTCAACCTCTCCTAGGCATTCTTATTTCAATGGTGGGATTATGCTGAAGCATCAGGTATAACCAAGCTACTTTCATCTTAAAAAGTCTCATAACTCACAACAATGAATTCCAGGCTGGGGTTAAGTTCCCCTTATTTGCTGACTAGGGAGGGTTAACACATAAAATGGACAATTCCCAGTAAATTCACAGCAGCTACCCACCCTCTCCATCCCAGATGGCTGACCCAGCCTAGCAAAGTTGTTGTTTAACCAGGAGAGGAGTTTGGAAGTTTTCCAACCAAATAGAGTTTTGTCAGGAAAACTCCCCAATTCATCAAACTGTTAATGTTTTGCAAAAAATGCCTCAAGTTCAGCAAACTTAAAAAAAATAGAAAATCACAGAAAGGATGTCAAAGGAATGTGGATTTTGGTCACCAAAAGGCCCCATGGAAAATACCCTCTGCCAGGTTTTCCAAACAACTTCTGTGACCCAGGTTTTCGCTTCAGAACAGAACTTCTTGTGAACTGGAAATCCTGGGTTCGATAGAAAATCAGGGCAGAAAGAAAAGTATTCCAATAAAATTCCCCGTTTGAGTGTTGGCAAACACCAGGGACATTTCAGAGCCTCCCTGCCTGCTCCATACATCCACCCGCCCGGGAGTGCCACGGGAACCAGCTGCTCTCCTTGGAGCAGGGACAAGAGGGGGAAGATCTGCTCTGTTGGATCTGGGAGCTGTGAACTTAATCTCAGACCCTCCTGCTCACTGTGGCACAGAGCTCTGCCTCATCCACCAGACAAGCAGGGGAAATCCATGGATTTAGGAACAATCTGAAGCTAAGGCTTTTAGGGGAGCTCAGGGTCCTTTGTACAATTGCCAAAGCTTTTTTCCCCCCTCTCAGCTTCCCTGTAGACAGCCCATGGTGTAACACTGCTCTATGGACTATCAGCTCCTTCCTCACATCTGCACCAGAGGAAAAAGCTCCATTTACAGAATTGCCTCAAGGAAAAGACGTTATAGGGGAACATTTTCTGTCTGTCGATTCTCCCACAGTTGGGAATAGTCACCAACACGGATAAACAACATCTTGCTCCTTTAAGAAGTCCATTAAGTGAATTCATGTATTATTAGAAATCTGGTTAGCAGAAGGTAATGATCACTCTTCACAGCACATGAGACAACTCATTTCTTCTTTTATGCACTTAAAATGCCTTACAGCAATGGCTTGGATCGTGGCCAGGTAGATAAGGGCAAGTTCATCCAGACCCCGGGACAATGTCAGTCCAACAACCTGTGCAAAGATCAAAAAGAAAATGTACAAATCCAGCCAACATAAAACTCTATTATTTTCTATGGCTTCTTGTTGTAACAAGTTTTAAACACTAATTCTAAGCCTTACTTCTGTGAGCTGTACCCATAATGCTATGTTAAACATGTTATTCCTGATCTGGGGAAGAACCACATAAATTATTCTTGCCCCTGCAAAGAAATAAAGAACAAACAGCATATTGTAGGGGATTAGAGATAGATTAAGTCTGACAGTTTTATGTTATGACTCAGATATTGCTCGTGAATGTATTTAATGTAATAATATGAAAATGCTATTACATAAAAATAACTTTTTAAAAGCATTTCTCCCCCTCCCATCCAAGCACCCTAACACTGAAACACAATTAATAATTAAATACTATATCTTAGCCTCCTTTACTCTGACATAAATCAATACTGCACTGTAGCCACTCTGGATTAATATCAGCATAGGCAAGACCTGAATGCACCCATAATTATGACAGAAAAAACGGGCTGCTATCAACAACATTTGCATAGGAGCATCATACCAAGGAAATCCTGATTCTGCTGCAGCATATAATTCTCTCATAAAATAAAGCAGGTATTATTAGGACCCAAAAATATATAGGCCTTTTTTATTCTTTTAATGTTTCCCTCATCTGTGATATAAATGCTGCAGTGCTTATACCCTTTCCTACTTCAACCTCAAATACTGCAGATTATAGTGCTGGTGAGTAGCTTGAGATGCTCATTTCAAGGACAATATGTCATTTTGAAAGACGTTTTTGCATTAATCATCAGGTATTTTGACATCACCAAATTATACCCTTATGACATTCTTCTGTTATAGTTCTGCACAGCCTTGTGACCCATCTGATCTACCACCATAAGCTCAGTAAAAAGACACATCAAAACACTTAAAGATGGGCTGAAAAGCTGTTCAAATCAAGCAATCTATCATCAGAATACTTCATGCCTTTTCCAGATAGGTTTACCCAAATCCGTGTTGAAATTCATTGCAAGAAATATTCAAAATTTGGTAGACAAGTCAGTTAACAGCAGCAAGCACTGTGAAATGTGATTCCTAGAGAAGATCCTGGGACACACACAGCACTCCTCATATTTTTAGAAAATAAATGTGACTGTAGTGATATCTTAACAACAGTGATCTCTGGTTTTCTACTGAAACATCAGCACACTTCGAAATGCAGCAAGAAACCCAAATCCTATGTGATAGTGTAAACAGCTAAGGAGGAGTACACTCAAAATTGAAGAAAAGCTCCTTTTTTTTTTTTTTTTTTTTACCCTGTATTGACCTTTTTGCAAAGACAGGCTGTTTCTTACCATGCCCTTTAGTGTCAGATCTGTTAAGGGAGATCTGTTACCATGGAAATCTGGCCAAACATGTAAATCAACAGTGAGGAAACCCACAGGCAAAGATTTCTTAATCAGATCCAGGTGACTGTTCAAGTATGTATATATGCTGTGAGCACTAGGAGAAAAACAAGTTGGAAACAGAGAGGGGAGGTTATTCATCAAACATAAAACATTTGTACTACCATCAAATGCACAAAAACCATCAAAGAACAGCTAAATCCCCCTGCTTGCCAAGCCCATGGCACTGAGGGGATGTCTATCAGCACGTGTGCTCAACAGGCCACCTGAATTCCTTAATTTCACGGGATGAGGGGAGATAATATGACCTTGAGTTTGTACATTGACTCCCCCAGGTCCCTGGAGGAGCCAGAGCTGTTTGATATTTGGGGCTGCTGATGCTTGTCTCCCACAGAATGGTGCTGACACTGTGTGAGGAAAGCTGGAGAAAAGCAAGCGGAGAGGGAGGAGTGAGGAGGATTCCAGACAGAAGTGAAAATCAAATTCCTTTGCAAATGTTTAAAAATTTCTCTGATTAATCAATAGCATGTAGAGCTTTCCTTTTTTAAACCATAATTATTTCAGTGTGTGTTATGATTAAAATGCAGCACCAAGGGTGGAGGAGAGAAAGTGAGTGGCTGCTATTTTAGGGAGGAGCCCACCATGGGCCTAAATATGATTGTATCTAAGTTCAGATGCTACACCCAACTCCACGATATCCAACAGACTTTTTCCTGGACCTAGGACTAATGGTGAATTCTTCAGTGCCCTGGCTTGCAGTGACTCTGGTGACATTGTGTTTAAAAAATGTTGCAATTATGCTCGGAATATTTTTTTCAAACACTCACCCTATCACAAACAAATCCATATATATTTTTCAACTCCTTGGAAATCTCCAAGTGGGGCATTTAATTCTAGACATGTGGGTCAATAACAGCATCTAACCCTAATTACAATTGATTAGTCATTGTCTCATCCACTGCAGACCCAAACAGTGATATTCATTTAGCCTCTACATGTATATTCAATCATGCACTAATGAGATCCCTGAGGGAATTTGGCATATGCTTTACTAGTTTGACTTCTGACCCACTAGCAGCTGTATATTTATACTTTGCATTCAACCATTCAGCTGCATGTTTTTTCAATTATACCTTACCATGTGTATGCTATCAGAGGATATCATTCAAAATGAACTACACTTGGAAGACATTAAAATAACTAATTTACATCATTATTCACGTCCTTTAAAATGTACTTTATGTGTCTTCCTGGACCTAAATTATGATAATTTTGAGGTCACAATCATTTTTTTTTCCCCTTGTTGTGAAAGTGGCCCTGTTTTCTCCATCCCTAAAGACTGCACTATAAGCAGTACATGCTAAGGATAAAGTAATTTTATTTCCAGTCTAAATCAGGGCTTGACTGTTGGGAAGGGGGAAAAAAATGGAAAGCTTCACTCAAGAAGACCCACCAGATATCCCAGCTTCTATCTCTTCTCCATCGTGCTTGACTGCTCTCACAAGAATTAGTCATTTGTGCAGCTCTGTCAGAACACAAGGACTGAACAAAAAAGAGGCTGAAATTGAGCCAAATATGCTTAAAACCCACATAAACTTGGAATTACATTTTTTCCCCACACCTTTTTAAATTTATTTTTTTTCTATATATAGATAAGGGTTCAAGGGACTACACTTGGACTGGCAAAATCCTTCAAACACTTGCCAGTTCCTGTTTCTCCCACCTTTGGGTTATACATAATATTATACCATCAACTCACAGAGCCTTCTCTATTCAGTTCTATGACAAGGTATCAGTGGCAGCTGCATCTCACCTGCAGAGCTGAGCACGAGCTATTGCTATGAAAAAGGAACTGTGTTGAAAGTAGAGAATAAGAAATTGATGCAAGTTTGCCCAGGTTTATGTTCATACTTGGGACATAACTTCAGAAAGCATCAATCAAGAAGCTGGTATTTAATCTGTTCAAGAATCCTAGAAGATGCCAACAGGTATCTTTCAGGGGAAAAAAAAATTAAATTACAGATTTCTATATCAAAAAAAAAGGACTCTTAAACCATATAGAGGTACAGAAAACTGCCAAATATGGTTATTACATTCTACTTGAAAGATCCCAGAATTGCTGATGGGTCCTGTATGTGTAACTTCATCGTTTTATTTTGAGGAGACATCTCTTTAGATGGGGAAGTGGCATCGAGATGAATAGGAAAGGGAATTCTGTCTGAAAACACAGCACTTCACAAAGTGCCACAGGGCACATCAACTTTACTGTCAGATATTTTTCTCCTCCAAAAGATTAGAAATGGTCATTCTAGGCAACAGAATTATTTAAACTTTAGACCATAAATGACCATATTATTTGTTTTGATTTCCCACTCTAGCCTACTTCTACAGGATTTAACACATCAGTGATGGTTAAATGTCAGACCTACACAATATGCAGGTTGAAGAGCAAAAGTGATGCATCACAGCAATTTCTGCAACTCAATGAATTGCCTGGAAAAAAACAAGTTTTGTTGTTTGCAGAGTGCCAACCATTTGACCAAATGCTAAATTTACAGCTGTCCAGAAAATCCTCATGTAATTCAACCCTGTCCACTTCCAGTAAAAGAAGGGAATAAAGGACATAGGAATAGCACTGGGAGGGTTGCACAAGCCTGGTCCTCAGCAGCAGTGGTCAGCAGGAGCTGGTTGTCTGAGCTCTCACGCCCTTACAAGTTACCAAAATTACTAAACTGGTGATAAATGCAGCTGGAAAACTGCTCTGGTGTGGGCAAAGGAATAGGAGGAGTTTGCACAAAGAAGCCTCTGGGATAGCTGCTCAGCAGGCACTTGCCATTCCAAACCTGCTTATAGGCAGCATGAGAAGAAAGGGAGGACAGGTTTAGGGATGCAGGAGTAGGTGAAAGGCAGCAGAAAGCAACAGGCAGGGATTTGTGACCTCAGATGTTCTTGTTTTAATGATCCAGACATGCATGTGCTTAACCCTTCCCAGCACTAATCTACCATGGCAAGTAAAGGTAATACGAAATTGCACACCCAAACATGGAATTCTCATTTTGTTTTCCTTCTGTGGCCGTTTGCAATTGACTGAACAGATGCAAATTCCTACACCCACACAGAGAACATCCTAAACATAATAAAGCAGATTGTCTGAACTATTCTGCTGAAATTTCCAGGCAGATAATTTATCATCATCACCAATAATCCTCCAAAACAAGACACTATGTTCGAAAGGAGCCTGCCAGAAGGATGGAGAGAGACTATTAGCAAGGGCCTGGAGTGACAGGGCAAGGGGCAATGGCTTCTCACTGACAGAGAGTAGGTTTAGATGGGATACGGGGAGGAAAGGAAATTCTTCCCTGTGAGGGTGGTGAGGCCCTGGCACAGGTTGCCCAGAGAAGCTGTGGCTCCCCCATCCCTGGAAATGTTCAAGGCCAGGTTGGACAGGACTTGGATCAACCTGGGATGGTGGAAGATGTTCCTTCTTTAAGTTTAACAGATATTTCAGAAGGAAGGGGAGAAAGCGGATGAGAGAATTAGTAAGTGAATTGTTTACTAAATTTATAGCTATGTAAACATTTCATTAGTAGAGTAATATCTGGAAAGCATGACAAGAATACCATTGAGCAAATTAACTTAATAAAATATTATTACTCTTTTAATAAAATATTAGAGCTCTTATTATCAATACTGTTCTCCAGAGTTTTACTAATTGCACGAGACTCAAATCCAAAGTTATGACATCATACCCTTGGATAACATGGAGTTCTATTCCCAATATTCCATATTTAGTGTCTTGCTCACACCACACTCCAAGATTTTGCACTATAGCATTATTGTGCTCAGTCAGTTCAGTATCAGACCTAGCAGAGACAAGGAGGCTACTCTATAGCCATTTTTCCAACAACAAAAATCGGTTTATCCTGGCATTACAGATTAAATTGTTTGTCCTATGCTTGAGCTTCATACAGGGGCACTGGAAAAATGGCCTGGAAGCCAAAATTCTGAAAAAGCCCCAGATCAATCTTTATTCCAAACATACACAGATGCATTTATTTCCTGATTTCCTTTTTCACAAAACAACAAAGAGAATTCTAGGAAGCGTGAATCTGTTTCATATTGAATGAAGTCCAATACATTTCTGGGAATCTTGGACAAGTTCTTAAAACACAAGTAAGACAGTGGGCCCTGCAAGGGATGGAAGGGTCATCCAAAAAACCAGGTAGCTTTATCCCCCCAGGAGGACTGAAAATAACTATGTGACTGCGCATGTTTAATATATGTATCAGGACTGACCCTTGTCTTTTAGACCAGAGGGATAAACTGAAGAGAAAATGCCAATTTTGCTGGTTTTTATTTTAATCTAAGGATGAAAAAGACATTAAAAGAGAATCAAATTGTCATCCAATGTGCCCAACTGTTCAGCTAAGACCTCTCTGGAAGTGATGGGAACCATCTCAAAAGGAATCCAAGCCAAAACCGCTTGACAAAGTCCAGACCAGTCTGGACCATCTTCATCCACTTCTAAAGCTGACCACACTAAAATTCCACACTGCACACAGTCTGCTGCTCAAGGAATCCTGGAGTTACCTCCAAGTCACTCCTCCATCTTGAGTTTTGTCTGAAAATTCATCCAGGGTTTCTCTGTTCTATTTGTGCTGCCATGCAGGAGTTTTCCATCCGGTGGCTATACCTTCCTTTAGATGATTGTTTCAAAAATCCTGAATAACATGTCCTAATTAAGCTATATCTCATCCTTGGAGCTTAGTTGTGTCACATACAAATGAAGACACATTGCTAGCCCAAAGCATAGAGACAGGTCTGCTGAATAGGGATGATGCTACAGAATCAAGAAATACCCTTGGACAGAAAAGCTGAAAAGCAGTAAGTTAATATGACTACTTAGATATACCAAAGGTATCTGAGGGGAGTTTAAAGCTTTCATCTTTGAGCAATCACCTGGCAAGCCTTTGTAAGTGCTTCCAACCCTCTATCAGACTGTTAATTGCCCTGTTTCAGAGTAAGGACACTGCTGGGAATACATTGTGTCATCAGTTTGTAAGGCAGGTGTGTGACAAAGGAATAAGGACAGTGACCTGGCTGCAGCTTTTGACTGTAATTCCGGGAAGGCGACATGGCCTCGGACCACATGATCGATCTGAAAAAGAGAAAAGCAACATTTTTAGGATGATTACATCTTACAACTTCAGTCCTGGAAAAGGGTAAGGCAGTGTTATAACTTTAAAAAGACAAGAGAGCTTCCAAATTACTCATGAAGTGTTAAGTCCTAGTGAAGCCAATGGCAGAACTACCACTGACATTCAGGATTTGGTTTATGAACAGTAAGGAAAAACATCCAACCTTGCACCAAAAACTGGCAAAATGCTAAGTATGCAGCTCCTCAGTCAGGAGAGCAAGGTGACAGGATGCATTTTTCTGTCTCCAACAGCACCTGAGAGCATGTCCTCTGGTCTCTCCCATTCTCTTGCATGCTTATCCTCATTGGAATTCTACCAGGAACATCTCCTTGGCCCAAATCCCTACATCTTTCTGTATCACTCCGTTGAAATAAAACACAAGGTGTGTTGTCACCCTGATAGATGCTTCATACATTCATTGCAGGAAACAAAATGTATACCCTGAGAAGCAATTACTGCTATAAAGGAAGATCAATATACGCTCTGTCTTATACTGAATTTATAAATCAACTTGTCCTTTCAGTCCAGAGTGGTTACCATTACTCACAAAACAAAGTATCAGGTAGAATAATATGGGCTTTTTAAAGACAATAATTCAGCAGGTTTTGTGGCCTCTTGGTAATATCCCATCAGAGGTGACAGTAAAAGCTAAGGAGGCAAAACTAGAGCTACTCAAGAGCACTGAGTATTTTTGGCAATACCTATGGGCAGAAAATCACATCAGTATTTAATTTTTAACAGCATGAGTCTAGTCCATATAAAACATATAATGAAGCAAACACATCTGAACACAGCAACAAAAATAATGCCTGTTCTTCCTGAGATTGGCATCAGACAGAACTCAAACGTGCATCTGCATTAGAAACAAAGCTCGGGCCTGAATTCTGCAATCTTGCATAATCCTCTCAGAACACAGGGGCAGCTCATAAATTCAGAAATAAATTTATAAATAAACATCACATGAAAACACTTTTACAGGAAACTGTTGCAGGAGTTATGAAGTTAGATATTTAAATGCCCTTAATTCAAGACATGGCCACATGAGGGATGCACATAGAAACCATTTTCTGCTATTTTTTATTTCACAGTTTCTAATTATGTCATGTCATCCTTTCTCTCTGTTGTGCTATATCTTTCTTCTCATAAATTTTGAAAATCCAGTGCAAAAACCAATCTAACACACAAAAAAATCAAGCTTTTTCAGAACGAGAGGACTTAATCCTTCATTTGGACTCTACAGTTTTCAAAACCCAACAGATTTCTTTAGCAGCTGTATAAAAAAAAAAAAATTAATTAGAGCTTTTAAAGGGAAGTGTATCAGCTCTACTTTTAAGAAGTTAAACAGACTGTTCACATTTTATGAAAGTAATTAACATCGGGGCGTTGATCAAGCAATGAAAAGAACCCGAAACATACCCTTTTTGTTTGTTTGTTTTCAGAAGGTGTGAGAAAGCAGGATCTTAAAAACCTTCAGCTTGAAAATGACAGAGATAATGAACGCCCTGTACCCTCCACACAGAGCACATGCACTGTTACCTCCCATGGCTTTTGCTATGGGTCCTAACAAGACCATACACTTTTTCCAGCAATTTCTTTAATGATTCAGGAACATCTTGTTCTCTGGTACTAGAACAGAAAGGATTTTTCAAATCATCTTTTTGAAACGCCCTAACTGTCATAGTACATTTAAAGTGTGGAACTATCCTGAGCCAGCTGAGAAAAACCACTGACTTGCTGTATCCTCTCTAAAGCTTAGATAAGAGTATTTACCTGCTTTGGATTAAACAGATAGAGACTTCCCTCTCAAACGTGTTCTTGCAAAGAAACACACAAGATTTGCCACTTTCCTTTTAAAATGGGGGTGTTTTGAGCATATATTATTTGAGATATTAAATGTATTTTATATATATATAATTTAGTTTTATTTCTGGTTGTAGCAGTTACCTATAAAATAGGACACTTTTTGGTCCTAGCCCAATCTTGACCCGAAAAATTTAAAGCACACAATTAAAAGAATTAAAATACACATCCCACGTGCTGCAAGAGCATTTTTAGCCAGAAGGCTAAGGATGGTCTGGTGGTGGGATGGGAAGCAAGGCTGCAGGAGAAAGAGGGGTGACTCTCCCACTGAAGCCGTGACACAGAGAGGAATGTCAGGTTAACGTGGCCAAGGAGAGAGCACAGGAGGGAACACCATTGACAGCTCAGTGCTTGGGGTGTGTCTGGATGATTTGTGCTTCTCATTCAGTGACTGTTCCATGTGCAATGTGTAAGTGCAGGGATTCCCCAGTCTATTTTCTGGACATGTTCTCCCATCTCTAGGCTTTTAAAAAGGTGGGTGGTGCTGGGTCTGAGTCAGAGCAACTACACCTGCAACTGGTGACAGACCAAACTCCCCCTGCACGTGGTGAGTTTACAGGGGACACCCCCAGGCCTCGCCTGCCTCCTGCAGCTTCTCACAAGGCCTTTGCAGCTCAGTCCTAAGAGCAGTCAGACTGGCCAAGGAGACACACAGGGAGCTCTGGAAGCTTCATGGCTGAGCAATCACGAAGACCTTGGTGGCACTTTTGGACTCAAGCCTAAATACCGTTGTGTACATCTAGCCTTTCTTTAAATTTGACATCAATGTTTTAGTTCTGACTTCCTGTAAAAAAATTCACTTTTTAGGTAATCCAACCTGGTAAATTAAATTAACCTAATACTGTTAGACTCTTTGTATTTGAGCAAAGCACTGAGGTGACAGGATAACATGTTACTATATTACTATCTGTCCATAAAGTACATCTTTCACTTATGCCCATCGATGAGCACAATTGATCTATGCAACACAATATGTGCAATTTTCTTTATCTCAGCCTCCTGCTGAAGTAAAGAATGAAGCCTATTTCCCTGTAAGATAATAACAATAATCATCACCACCATAAAAGGAAGACATGCCCTGTACAAAATCCCTTATCCATATGCAAATGAACCATTTGTAAGAGACATAATAATTAACTAATTGTTCACTGCTTTCAGCAGCCTGTATCTCCCATGATCTTACAGAGGTGCTTCAGCAGAGCTCTGCCTGAACTGACAGTGAAGTTATTCCAAATGACAGCAATTATGCCAGACCTCCCATCTTGGAGTCTGCCTGTGTCTCCAAACACTTACCAGCTTTCCTGTAGCACTTTGACCTCCCTCATTCAACCACAATCCAGGTACCATTGCAGAGAAATATGGTCCCCAAACACCAGGAACAAAAATGGGTTTTTCACTGACCTGTAAAAGCAAAAGAAAGCTCTGGTGAATCAAACAACCCGTCAAAGTAGGGACTTCACAACTAATGCTTGGCAGCTATTGGAGTCCAAGACTGAAACAATTCCTGCTTTTCCACAGGAGTTACCAACAGAAGTGGAGATCCACAGGTATAGATTTACTCCAAGAATAATGTGGAGATCTTCCAATTGCATCATTTTTAGCTCACATGACACAGTTGCAGCTACTTATCACACAAGTGCCCCCACTCTGACAGAACAGCTGGGCCTGGCTGAGCAGAAAGGAAGAAGTTTCAGGAATGGGAACTGTATTTTACAGGAAGAGGGAAATTGCCTCATTTCTCTATAAAAATGCCTTATTTAGAATGAACAGTTGGATACAACACTGTTGACTGTCCTCAGCAAATACAGCCAATGTACTTGGTGATGGGTGTTTGCAGAGTTAGGAATCGGGAGGGGATCCTGCTGACAGAGGACAGTGATGTCCCCCAAGATCTGCCACTAACTCCCAAAGCTGGCAAGGGAACCCCAGGCTCCAGTGTTCCCACAAAGCTGCCAGGATTGTTGGTGTCTTGTGTGGAAGCTGCAGACCTGGGCTGGGCAAAGGGGGATGTGCTTGGTATGGCCAACAAGAAACATGTGCCTGGGTAAACATCAGACTCTGCCCCTTACTTAGGCTCAGCTTTACACAAACCACTCCTTCCTTCACACCTGTGAAGGCAGATCAAGGCAGCTATCTGAGCACTATCCTACAGAAACAACAGGCCCCTATTCACACCAATACACCCCTCTGTGTACAGTGACAGCTGCCCCACACAGTATTTTAGTGGTTAGACCACTCAGGATGTGGGAAACACTGGTTCATTTCCTTTCTCTGCTTCAGAAGATGCAAATTACCAGTTTATAAGGGTGGAGGGCATTTTCCTTCCTCCTATAAAGCTGTTCCACTTTCAGTAGACCTGACAGACTTCCTAGGCTTTCACTCTGGGTCAGCAGAAGGCCTAAGGAGGTCCTAGTACTTACTCCAAAGACTAGTTGTGTATTCCTGACTGTTTGAACAATGAATTCTTGCAGCAGGGGCTGGAGGAGACAGGTCACCATCCCCTGCCAGGCTACCCTCTTCTCTTGGAAGCAGGTTTCATGTTTTCTCTTCCAGGACCACATTTATACACTCAAGAGAACAGCAGTGCAGTCCTACACCACCACATGATGCATGATGCACTTCCCATCATTCCATGTTAATGGGATGGCTAAATCTGCAACTGTTGTTTTCTAGAAGGTGCTTTGCTCCCAGAGAAGGAAACAAGAGAATTAATTCCGTAACAAAACAAGTCTGTATGTTCTCAATGCTGCAAAAGCAAAAAAAGAGTGGTCTCAGTCAATGGAACAATAGGGTTTTTTTGTATTTAGACCTTGTTCTTCATTACCAAAATTCTAGACCCACTGAAGGATGCTTAAGGTTTGCTATTGATTCAACAAGGCCTGGACTTCATGTCAAAACAGTTTTGAGGCCTGTTCCTGTTAAACATGATGCACATTCTCCGTATATTTAAACAGGCCAAACTTTAAAGAGAGTTTTTACAAGCAACGGGGGAATATGCTCCAAGATGCAGTTTACTGGCATTTGTGCATCACACATGTTTAGTAAATACAGCAGCAGGGAGGTTTCTGCACAAACAATAGTCTGCTCCAGCCATAAACTCACAGTACAGCTGATTCTTGTCATGAAGTTAAGTAGGAAAACAAAAAACCCAAAAATTTGTTTCTCAAAATAAATCAGCACCATGTCAAGAAATCATGATTTCTCTCAGGAAAGCACCTAACAAATACAGGAATCTTTCTCAGTCTCCCTTATCAGCTCTAAAGCCCTGACTTACTTTCCCTAAAGATGTACGTGCACACATGTGTCTGTGTGTCTGTGCAAGATTTTGGCTGACTAAACCCATTAAAGAGCAAGAATAGCTGCACTGAATTTACAAAGGCATTTATGACTCGAAGTGGACGAAGCTACGTCAAAAACACTGCGGAGACATTTGGTTTTGTTTTGTTTTCTCTTAAAACTACAAATTAATACAGCTTTGAGTTTTCATCACCTCAACGGGACAAGGCTTCTTTTACAATTTCAATATGAAAATGAAGTGTAAGAAAAAGCAAATCCTAAACTAAGCTGATTTTTAGACCTATTCCACATCACTGACCTTACTGAGAACACACCATGTCAGCATCTGCTCCAAACTGGTGATGGAAGTGTGGGGAGAACCCAAATATCCTGTCTCCTTCCCATCCTATAGCTGTGGACACAGCATGTGTCTCTACAGGTGACAAGAAACATTTAGGGAAAAGGGGCCTGGGATTCTGAAGTCTTATCTCAGAAATTTTTTGATGCAGCAAACTTTGCAGTGTTCTGTAGCTCACTGAAGGAAAAATCTAGTTACACCAAATGGATCGAGCTTAAAATCCAGCTGCTGTGTAGTCTGAAAAAACAAATAGCCAAAGGGCACTGAAAGCATAAAGATGCTTTGTGAAGTCAGGAGAAAGTCTAAACATCAAGAAGGGCAATATATTTTATAAAATAAAAACAGAAACCACACCTTTTTTCTATCATTGGTCCTCAATTTACCAAGTTGTCCTCTACATCTGATAACAACAAAAGGTTTAGATTCATTATAAGACCAAATTCTCTCTGCAGCCAGTGCTTCTGCCCTAGTACTTTGGGCACCCACAGGAATTTGCCAGGACAGGATATTTCCATGCTGGCTCCTCTCAAATTACAGTGAGACCTTCCTATCAGCTTACTACTAAGTACCGTCTGTTCACATTCCAGCAAACTTTCAACACATGAACAGAGCAAACAAGGGAACTGGGAATTGCCATGCTGATGGATAGAGGCAGTGGGGTACTTGGTTATCAGTTTTGTTGCTGTGGGAACTTTTAACTGGAATAAAAGAACCTTGGCTATCATGCATTATTTGATGATAGGGCACCATCAGATCTCCTATCTCCTCCTCTCAGTTAAGGGGTTTAATTCACATTTTTCAGACTCTGGGTTTTGATGCATGTGGAAAGCGAAAATTGGGAATAACATTCTCCTCAAAACAGACACACAGTCTTTAAGAAGTAACATCCTTCCATAGCTCTATGCATAAAAAATAGCAAATGGTTTCCATTTCCCTTTCTTGAAATACTTGGATGGTCTTTCAAGCCATGCAGCAGCTGGCATTTGTATTTTCATAATAAAAGGTCCATATTCTGTTTGAGTATACATCCCACCCAATCCCACCAAAACACATGACTAGACATAAGTGTAAGGTCGGAGAAAAAGTACAAAGTTTGCCACAGAACCCAGAAGAAAAGCACAATTTGCCAGATTCGGGGCTATTTTTGTTACACTAATACCATGTCTCTTTTATAGCTTTCAATTGCCTTCAGACATTCTCATGATGATATAGGAGGATCAATGCCATTTTTTTTTCCCTTTAATGAGCTTAAGAAAATCCTTAATCTTTTTAGTAGAAAAACAACATGTGTTTTAGATTTATGGGGAATTGATTTTTATTTTGAAAGCAAATAAGAGATGTCATCCTTCTATGGAAGTTAACATACAAATTCAAAAGGAGCCTCAGATTTTCTGCCTTCCATTTAACTGAAATTCCTTCTGTGACACACTCCTATTGCAAGACATGTTAATGTTTATTATCTTTTACACAGAGCGAAACTGAACACAGAGAGGATTTCCTCTGCTAGACCTGAGAATGATCTCTGCCCAACAATGAAGCAGGAATTAGAAGACTGGAGATGAGAAGCTGAACTTATTCACACTTTGAGTCATAAGCTGCATTTATAAATATTTCAGCTGAACATGTTCACACCGAGACTGTTGCCCCTACGTGTGATGATGCCAACTCACCCAAGGATTATACTCAGCCATGCTATTCCACCTCACAGTTACTCTGTCTGTGGATGGGAAAGAATCCCTTTTGTGCAAGAAAATGTCACCTTTCCATGTCTCCCCAACACACACATTCCTACTTGCTCAGCCCCATCATTTCAGATGAAATGAGCATTAAGCATTTCCAAGATTCCTGCTTATCTGAAGGGAAGAAGAGTTGAACACCTTCTGAAAGGGAGAAGAAGGGAAATAAAGTTCTGTCTAGGAGGGTTTAACCTCGGCATGTGCTTTATAAAAGATCATACTAATATGTAAGATATGTAAACATTATAGAGCAATCAGAAACAAATGAAATGATGAATTCAGTTTAACAATATTCAGCTGTGGTGCAAGTGCCAGAAGGCACTTTTTGTTATGAATAGATCATTTGGATGGATTACAGACCAGATTTGAACCCTGGCGTGTGCTAAGAAAATCAGTGTCAAACTACCTCAGATCAGAAGGTATCAGCAGTACATCTGGCAGCCCACAGAAATAAAAAATGTCTTTAAAATACATAAAGCTGCATAGAACTAAGCTAAAGTATGAGAGGACCTGCTTAAATGACACTAATACGAGATCTGTAATGTATTTAATTTATTAGTCCTTCCCACTTTCCTCTCCCCTTAGAAAAAAAAGAGGCAAAAAAATTCACTTCTATTCTTAAAGTCATAGAAAAAAAGCAGGATAGGCTAACTCAGAGCTCATGGAAGTGAATCAGGGGAGCCAGTGCCTTCCATCCAAAGTAAGTTCAGCTTTCAGGACTATCATTTGGTTCAAGGACAGAACAGAACACAGACCTTCACAGAGGAGCATCTCCCAGGCATCCAGCCATCCCATAAAATGAGCAAGTGGCAGTGGGAGATTTATTTTACTTAGCTTTGTTTTGCCAGACTAGCCATAATGATCAGGCACATGCTTGTGTTTCCTCCTCAGTTTTATGTAAATGTTACGGCAATCAGAGACAAGATAAAATAAAACACACCACACTGGCGAGAGCAGGTTTGTGGAATCGTGAATTTCAGCAGAATTTTCTTCCTTAGTTGACACCATCTGTTGCTGGTGTAGGCTTACAC